AAGCTGCTTTCTTGAAGCTTCCTGGGTATTAAGAAACAGAATGTGTAGTGCCAACTTCTTGATTGAGCTCCCTCTTGATCTAGCTCCAGCTAGCAGCCTCCACTCTCTAGACCCTTGGTATCCAGGGGCTGTTTGGGCTGCAGCAGTTCCAACAGCTGCCTCCGAGGGAGGAGCTCCCCTACTGAACCAGTTCCGACTATTCCAGAAGTCACTGCAAGACGAAGTGGAAAGACCCAACTGCCTGTGGTGGTTTATTTATTTTTTAATTTTTATTTTTTTAAGTAGGCTCCATGCCCAACATGGGGCTTGAACTCATGACCCTGAGATTATGAGTCACATGCTCTACCAACTGAGCCAGCCAGGCACCCCCCAAATACATGTACTAAATCCTTTCCTGCTTCAAATATCTACTGATTTCTATATCCTGTACTGAACCTTGCCTACACAGTTACCAAATACAAAAAATATTTAGTTCTGACTCAAAGGTACAAGGTGCAAATTTGTTATCCAAAATATATACATATACTTATATAGGTTTTAGAAGCATAGAATATCTCAGGAAGAATATATAAGAAACTAGCAATTAAGAGGCTACCTCTGGGGAACAGAACTGTGTGACAGCAACCAAGAGTGGAAGGCTTACTTTTATATTATTTATTTATTTATTTTTAAGATTTTATTTATTTATTTTATAGAGACAGAGACAGCGAGAGCAGGAACACAAGCAGCGGGAGTGGGAGAGGGAGAAGCAGGCCTCCCCTCGAGGAGGGAGCCCGATGTGGGACTCGATCCCAGGACCCTGGGATCATGACCTGAGCTGAAGGCAGACGCTTAGCGACTGAGCCACCCAGGCGCCCTTTATATTATTTAAATCGCTTTAACATGTATACATTTTTTTAATTTAAATTACCTGATAAATTTAATTAGTAGTTTAAATTTAATTTAAATTGATAAAGAAGCATACAAATAACAAACTGAGATCGCTAAAGTATCAGACTCTTCTAAAAAGAACCCGAAATATAAAGTTATCCAAAACTGAAAGATATGACCAAATAATTTATTTTAGAATAAAGAAGACTCTGAGAAACAAACTGAGGGTTCTAGAGGGGAGGGGGGTGGGGGATGGGTCTTCAGCCGACGCCTTGGTGGCTGTCTGTTAAGTGTCTGCCTTCGGCTCGGGTCATGATCCCAGGGTCCCGGGATGGAGCCCTGCATCGGGCTCCCTGCTCAGCGGGGAGTCTGCTTCTCCCTCTGCCTCTGCCTCTCCCCTTGCTTGTGCTCTCTCTCTCTCTCTTTGACAAATAAATTAAAAAAAAAAAAGTCTTTAGCCAATACAAATAACTCAAGTCTTCTCATATCTTATCAGATCAAGGCTGAATCACGTGTTCTAAACATTGTGCTTTTAAGGAAATCAAACGCTTATGACCAGAAATCCCAGAATGCAAAATTAATGGTAACACAGTAGAAAATCATCAGATGAAAGGAATGGGGTGGGTCTCTGGTAGAGAGAGTGACCTAATTTAATCAGAGAATTGTCTCAACTTAAAATCAAGTTATATAGTTCTCTCAAAAGATAATGTCAGTGATGTTCCTTTATCATCAAGGCCCATATAAACTATACATAAATCTGCAAATAAAGTAATAAAGTAAGCTTTAGTAAAAAGTGACAGTCTCCTTTCTCTTCCCTCCAACACCACTAATTCATTAGCAGATTAGGAAGGGTCCTTGCATGTTTTAATATTGTGTTTAAACATTATTTAAATACTTTATGTCCATTAGTCCGCCTCCCTAATTAAACTAGAAGGTCCTTGATGGGTGAGATTGAATATGTCACTCTTTTGTCTTTCCCACAACACCCAGCACAGCTTTAGAGTCAAATGCACAAAAAGTTAAATCCAACAGCCTCCATTTTGTCATAATCTCTTAATTCTCCCACACCTTTTTTTTTTAAAGATTTTATTTATTTATTCATGAGAGAGAGAAAGAGAGGCAGAGGGAGAAGCAGGCTCCCCGCTGAGCAGGGAGCCCGATGCAGGACTCGATCCCAGGACCCTGGGATCATGACCTGAGCCGAAGGCAGATGCTTAACCATCTGAGCCAACTAGGCGCCCTCTCCCACACCTTCTTAATTCTCCTAATTCTCACCCACACCTAAATCCACTGCCAATCACCCTTCCTCCCCCATTTCTCTCTTTTTTTTTATTTGACCTTAATTTCTTTAGCACTGTCAAATCTCAATTGATTCTTAACTCAGACTGCTCATTCACGGTTAGGTGGTTTACACTCTAAAGTTAACAACAAAGCCCCTGAAAATAGCTTCCTAGACTATTTCCCTTTCCAGCTTTACCAACTGAAGGAATTCAAATGACTTCAACATCTCCCCTGTGACTTCAGAATCTCCAGCTACTCACACACTCTCACTAGCTCCAGATCCAACATCTGCTGTCTCAGAACCATCTGAAATCCAAAATGGCTGGACTTCCTTCCTTCTTCCATGGCCCAAATCCTCCGCTCTCAAGTTACATCCCCCACAACCACTTTAGTCAATCAATAAATGGCTATTATACCCTGTCATTCCCCTGTAATACCACCAATCACGGCAAAATACTCCAGTCAAAGTACAGTGCTTGGCTTGATAAGCAGAGAATTGTCTGGACAATTCTATAACTCTCCTTCCAGGTCTCCCATTAAACTTATCTATATTTCAAGCTAAACAACAGCATCTAAATAGGGCAGATAGATTTCTGTTTTTTTAAAAGATTTTATTTATTGATTTGAGAGACAGAGCACAAGCAGGGGGAGCGGCAGGCAGAGGGAGAGGGAGAAGCAGGCTCCCCCGCTGAGCAGGGAGTCCGACGCGGAACTCGATCCCAGGACCCTGGGATCATAACCTGAGCCAAAAGCAGACCTTAACCGACGGAGCCACCCAGGCGCCCTGATATATTTCTCTTTATCTGTAGAATAGGAGTGGGTTGGAGTCAGACTAATTCTCAGACACAGGCCCAGCAGGCATTCACGGACACCCTCCTGGGACGTTCATCACTGCCTCAGTTCTATGGGTATGAATCTCTAAATGAGAAACCCAAGACCTCAAGGACAACAGTCTCCCTTATAGGACTGCAACTTGATCTCTGTCTCCCTTCCTCAATGATGACCTAGGACAGTCTCAACTTCACTACAAAATTGTATTTCTCCCTCAGATCAACAAGAGCTAGCGACTGTACCATAATCCAGGCAAAGGAAAGTCTGCAGGACTCTATAAACAGGAGGTCCTAAGTCCATAATTGTCTACTCACAACTCATTAATGATTCATAAAATCAATTTAGTACATTGCAATGTGCATTTACTTAATGAAACAGAAAATTTTAGAGTGCACTTCATTTACTATGTATCATGTCATGAACGAACGGTGTATGGGTGTCCTGGGTCATGGTGCAAAATGTATTTCATACTGTGAATCACTCACTGTTTAAACAGGCTTAAAACACAGAGTGCATCACTTAATTATTTCCATCAAAAGTAAAGTGTAAACAAAATGTTTTCCAGGGGCACCTGGATGGCTCAGTTGGTTACGCAACCAACTCTTGATCTCAGCTCAGGTCTCAGTTTCAAGGTCATCAGTTCAAGCTCCGCATTGGGCTCCATGCTGGGCATGGAGCCTACTTTAAAAAACAAAACAAAAAAAGTTTTCCAAAGACATATGATCATTTTAGGATGAATATAGCTATGAGTATAAAATTCTTGGCCACCAATTAATACTAAAAGCACCTTGTGAAAGGTGGCATTAGAATCCATTCTATCAATGCAGATGTAGCTACAAATGGATTAACAGAATTCCACTGTTGTGACTTTTAATACACAATTTAAATTAATTACACTTTAGGTCTATTCTAGATATAAGGTACCACCAGTGGGAATCAAAGGCAAGGAAGGTCAAGATCCCAACACTTGGGGGTTAGAGAGATCACCTGCTGGTGGGAAATAGCGAAAAATCGCACTGTAGAGCATCACCATGGGTATGAGCGGTTTTCATTTTTTTTTCTCCTTCAAGAATAGGGTTATTTCACATAACAAATCTCCATTTTGTTTCTCCTGAAACCTAGAAGATCTGGCGCACTTCAGAAATATGTCTGTTCCCCAGTTCCTACTGTCCCTACCCCACCCTAGCACCTGCCTGACTCCCGTAGGCATTTTGAATTTACAACTCGCACCAAGACTCCAGTCAGTCCAGTACAGTGCTTGGCTTGATAAGCATACAAACTCCAAGGAGAAGACTCTTATCAGATCCCCTCTCTAAAGAAGAACCTCTCAAGAACTTAAAACCATCCGAAAGAGGAAGAGAAACGCTGCACGGCTGACTTTTCAAAGGCAAGGGGCTGACATCCCTACTCCTCTGGGGGTGATTCCCGCCGCGTAGGGCCCTGTGAGGTCTAGTCTACTTGACAGAGGCCTAAGACAGGCAAGAAGAGAGGCGATCGAGCATCAGTGAGAACTTTTATCGAGTCCCGCCAACCACAGCCCGGCCCGGCCTCTCTCTTGCAGGACCCGGGGCCTCGGGGAGCTGCACGGGACTATGTGACTCAACGCTGGCCAGGCCCCCCTCTCCCTCCTCGGCAGAGTCGGCTCCTCGAACACTGCCGTTACCCGTCCTCCCACCCTGCCCACCGGACCCCTGGCTGGTTCTCCAAGCCGCCTCTCCTCGCCGCCCCACGCTGCCCGCAGCCCCGCCGCTGGGGCTGCAGCTGCGGCTGCGCGCGTATCCCGGGACGAAAAGGGGGGCTCCGGGCGCAAGAGCTAGGCCGGCGTCCGCCCTGCGGCCTTCGCGTGCTCACCTCCCCCCGCGCCGGTGACCAGGACCACCCGCCCGTCGAAACGCAGGGGCGAGGCCATGAGTCCAGCTTGCTGCGACAGACACACACACAAGCCGAACAGCTGCAGCTCGCACTGCGAGACACGGAGGAAAGAGTGAGTGGAGGTGAGGGGATGGGAGTGACCTGCGAGTTTCAGGGAAGGAAAAGGACGCCGCAGTCTTCCAAGTGCGCCTGCGCAGGAATCCCTTGGCACTCTGGGAAATGTAGTCCAGGGTGCTTCCAGGGGCTAGGAGAGCCTCCTCAAGAGGTTTGACTTCAAAGGGCCGCTTTCGCTGTTAGAAGTAATGGGATCCTCTAGGACCTGTGTGGTAAATGGCTGACACGGCACCAAGCGTACAGCCATTCTCCCATCATTTTGTCCTTCATTCAACAAGTGTTTCCTGGACTTAGACGCTAGCCTAGAGAAATAGGAGGCAGCCCCTATCCTCAAATAGCTTTCAGACATAAACCCTAAAGGGAAAAAGGCACCCTTTACCAATGGGTAAAGATGTCTTAGAATGTAATCCATGAATCTCGTGCATGAAAATCATCCAAGAACTGTCAAAAACAGAGAGTCCTGAACCCTCTCACCCTGACCTCCCAAATAGAATCTCTGGGGCCAAAAGAAAAAAAAAAAAAAAAAAAAAAAGCTTTTAACAAGTGCTTCTAAATGATCTTTGCTTCTGAATATTGAGAAAGGTCATATGTTGTAATTCATTCATTTAACATTTATTAAGCATCTATGGGTAGTAGGCACAAGTTTCCAGATGAATAAGTTCCTCCAGAGCTATTCAAAGTTATTAAAGGTAAACCTTTCATAACAGTGCATCATGATTAAACCATGATAAATCTGCACAGGTCTGCTAATAGTGATGTGGAGAAAAAAGGGAAAAGAAAGGTAGAAAAATTAAATCTCCGGGGCACCTGGGTGGCTCAATCATTAAGCGTCTGGGATCGAGCCCCGCTTCGGGCTCCCTGCTCAGCGGGAAGCCTGCTTCTCCCTCTCCCGCTCCCCCTGCTTATGCTCCTGCTCTCGCTGTGTCTCTCTCTGTCAAATAAATAAATAAATTTTTTTAAAAAAATTAAATCTCCTTACAACTTGCAGCCCATTGACAAATACTGGAGGCAGGCAGAATGACCTTGCTCAAGAAACTCAACTGCCTTAGTGTTAGTACTTGGCTAGAGGCAATTGCACTGCGGGGTATTTACCCAAAGGATACAAAAATACACAGTGGAAGGAGTATATATGCACCCTGATGTTTATAGCAGCATTATCAACAATAGCCAAACTATGGAAGCCCAAATGCCCATCTACTGTTAAGTGGATAAAGAAGGTGTGTGATATATATATATATATATGTATATATATATCACACACACACACAATGGAATAGGACTCAGCCATCAAAAAGAATGAAATCTTGCCATTTGCAACAATGTGAATGGAGCTAGAGTGTATTATGCTAAGTGAAATAAGTCAGAGAAAGACAAATACGGCACGATTTCACCCGTGAAATTTAACAAAATGGATGAACATTTGCGAGGGGGAGAGAGAGAGAGAGGGAAACAAATCATGAGAGACTCTTAACGATAGAGAAGAAACTGAGGGTAGATGGTGGGAGGTGGGTGGGGGATGGGCCAGATGGGAGATGGGTATTAAGGAGGGCACTTGTTAGGAAGAGCACTGAGTGTTGTGTGTAAATGATGAGCCACTGAACTCTACTCCTGAAACCAATATTAAACTGTATGTCAACTAACTAGAATTTAAATTTAAAAAATAAAAATAAAAATACTTGGCTAGAGGCAAAAAGCAACCTTAGCTTGACATTAGCCCAACCTCCAGAATCCTGTAAGTCTTCTTTAACATATAAAAATCCCTTTGGAAACTTCCTTTATCTATACCCTCACCCCCAAAATATATGTTAGCAATCATCCTTCCAACATCTTGCCCACTCATATACATCTGAAGGGTCTTACGAACCTTATCTTAACAACAGCTAGCCCCCTCAAGGTCCTGAAAGCCTTGCTTCCAAATTCCTCAGAGACTTACACTATCCCTAACCCCCACTAACTAAAAGGTATATAATCAGTCACTCCTCACAATCCCAGTGCAGCTCTTTCTGTCCATGGGTCCTGTCCCCATTGTAGAGGCCACTTTTGGGCCAACGGGCTTGAGCAATGGAATGCAGAAAGGGCCATAGCGACCACCTGGCTGAATACAGACAGGCCCCTCAGGAGACCCATCTCAAAATACCCATAGGCGCTAACTAATCAATGGGCTACTTACAACTAGACGCGGTTCCCAAAAAAGGGAAGATTTCATATGTTGCCATACCTTCTCACCTTCCCCCTTTTTTTTTAAATTTTATTATATTATGTTAATCACCATACATTACATCATTAGTTTTTGATGTAGTGTTCCATGATTCACTGTTTGCATATAATAGCCAGTGCTCCATTCGATACATGCCCTCTTTAATACCCATCACCAGGCTAACCCATCCCCACACCTACCTCCCCTCTAGACCCTCAGTTTGTTTCTGAGTCCATAGTCTCTCATAGTTCGTCTCCCCCTCCACTTTCCCTCCCTTCATTTTTCCCAACCTACTATCTTCTTTTTTTTTAACATATAATGTATTATTTGTTTCAGAGGTACAGGTCTGTGATTCATCAGTCTTACACAATTCACAGCGCTCACCATAGCACATACCCTCCCCAATGTCCATCACCCAGCCCCCCCATCTCTCCCACCCCCCACCACTTCAACAACCCTCAGTTTGTTTCCTGAAATTAAGAATTCCTCATAGCAGTGGGCCTGGGTGGCTCAGTCGTTAAGCGTCTGCCTTCGGCTCAGGTCATGATCCCAGGGTCCTGGGATCGAGCCCCGCATCGGGCTCCCTGCTCCGCAGGAAGCCTGCTTCTCCCTCTCCCACTCCCCCTGCTTGTGTTCCTTCTCTCACTTTGTCTCTCTCTGTCAAATAAATAAAATAAATTAAAAAAAAGAATTCCTCATATCAGTGAGGTCATATGATACATGTGACCTCTGATTGACTTATTTCACTCAGCATAATACCCTCCAGCTCCATCCACGTCGTTGCAAATGGCAAGATCTCATTCCTTTTGATGGCTGCATAATATTCCATTGTATATATATACCACATCTTCTTTATCCATTCATCTGTCGATGGACATCTTGGCTCTTTCCATAGTTTGGCTATTGTGGACACCCCGATGTTTATAGCAGCAATGTCCACAATCTTCCCCCTCTAAAAACAGCCCCCACCCACTACCTCCTTGGAGACAGCTGCTCCTTGAAGTGTGTTCAATAAACTTCTATTGCCTTGTTCTGCCTCAGGTGAATACTTTCACGGCCGCACCACTGACCTCCACCAGATCGTCGCCCCACATTTGGGGGGCCCCATCCGACCAAGAGACACCCCACTTTGGCACCACACTGGTGCTTTAATAAAACCACATTTTTGCACTGAAACATCTCAAGAAATCTTTCATGAGAGTTCACTCCCAGACCCCACACCCAAAACATCACATCAATAGTGCCAAAATAAAGGGTCCCTAACCCTGCTGGGGACAAAGGAAAATGTCCAAAGGAGATGACACACAGAGCACCTTAAGAAGCAAGCTCTGCAAATAAAGAACATTACAGGCAATGCAAACACAAGCTAGATGGGGCTGAGAGGTGGGGGTTAGGGGCGGTGGTAAAGCCGCAGAAATAACCAGCCAGTCAGATCATGTTTAGATGTTTGAATTGAGTGCTTCAAATGGTTTTAAGCAAGATTACTCCAGGCTACACATTAACATCGCGGAAAGTCCACTCTGCCCTATTATTGTGGATCGATCAGAAGTAAACAAGGTGAGCAAAAACCTACTGGGAAAAAGTAGGCCTGGAGGCGGAGCTCACTTGAGTCCCCCACGGGCACTGCTGTCACCCCACTTTCTGCTCTCCCCAGAGGCTCCTCCGCGCTGTCCTCCGACCCGACCAACCGCAAACTTCTTTGCTCATTGGTCACCGGGAAGGCCTGGCCTCTGTCCGCAGGCATTCCGAGTGAAAGCGAGCCTGGGGCTCAACCGAATGGGAATCCTCCGTTCAAGAGTGAGCCTATGTGACAACTCGGCAAATACTGGTCTCCACGTCCCTGCTCCCTACCCGCGAAGGACGGAATTAGGACAACTGAGCACAGCCCAAACGCCTTAAACCCCAGCCCACAAGGGGGCCTAAAGAGAGGTGCATTGGCCCCTTCACCAAGCTTCCCGTGGCTTCAGGGCCCAGATCCCAGTGGCTGAACATCTGTTTCTATCTTGTGTTGGAATCTTTCTCGTTTAATCCAATAACCCTGTTCTTCTGTTTAAAAAAAAAAAAAAAAAAAGACGTACAAGGCAAAAAAGAAAGGCTAGGTTCGTGGTTCCTACTCTTAGAAATGCAAGTGCAAAATCAACCCAGTTGTAACGGAGGATGAAGTGCTTTCAACTTACAGCTTGCAACAGGAGCGAGAAGGAAAGGTTTCTCAGTCATTGCTGGGGAGCCATTCTAACACGTCCAAGTCCGAGACTCACACTGTGGCTCACCTGGCCCAGACCAGGGCCAACGGGCATGGGGTGCAGTGAGTCCCCAAATAAACATGTCCTGAATATGGGAGGTGGTGCAGATTTAGGACATAAGTCTTGGAAGTAGAGTGAGGTGTGTAACTTAATACTCTGCAAGAGCGCTGCTACGTTAAGTGTAGATTATTCTCCAGGCATCTTACCTTGCTCTCAAGTCCTCATTCTTGTGGGAGGGGAGGCAAAAAAGGACATTTAAACTTTCCAGTTAAAGGTAACTCGGTCTGTTTGGGGCAAATGCGCTCTTTCAAGATTTCTCCCTCCTCCTTCTTGCCTAAATGTCACCTTGACATAGAGGAAAGGTTTGGCGGAGGCAGGGGTGGACCTTAAAGCCATATTGCCCTCTGCTTTCCGTGTAGCTACTGATATGGGCTTAGATATTCCTAGAATCTGCTGGGTGTTCTTTCTCACTCTGAACTATTTTAGCAACTTCTATATAAGTCTAGATTTGCAAACATATATAGGCAAATAAAAAATGATTCAAATAGAATTTTAAAACAAACTAAAAATATATATGTCTATATCTCTTCCGTGCCAGCCAGGAGCCAAAAGAGACAGGCGTAGGACC